GAATCGCGACAGGAAATACTCGAATCCAGACCTAAGATATCCTACGTCAACTATTGTCGGTGCCGTAAGACAAATGTTTCGAGAACAGCAATAGCTTGCAATCTGTGCTTTTTTATAATCAAAAAAGGTTAAGTTAGCACATGCGTTTATATAATATTATAAAAATTATAAGATCATTATCTAAACGAGTGACTGAGGGTGTGGGTGTGGATATGGATGTGGGTATGGGTGTGGTGTGAGTGTGGGTGTATGTGATTAACGACAGAAGGAACACCCACACCCACACCCTTGGTTTTCTGCTCTTCATATTATTATTACACGTGTATATTCATGCATAAAATACACATTTCATATGAATGAATATTTTATTTAAAAATAAATCATTGTGATGTCACTGTCGGCAGAAGTTTTTTATTGATTAATTATGGTTATCTAATACATATATTATCTTATTTTCGATCTTTAATACTGCGAAAATATTTAAAAGAATTCAATTATTTTAATTTTCAATTTAATAATAGAAATTCTTATTATGTCTATTTAGATGTTAAAATTTGAGTGTAAATATAAATAAAACAATTGATTTTAACTGATAGATTAGAAGTTCGAATTAAATTTCTAACATACTTGATATTTATACTCGTATCGAGCATTTATGAAAAAATTCTTTCACTCTCGAGATCCCTATCAATTTGATCTATGAAAAATAAAATTATTTATTCATTCTATTTCATTTCTATTTATTATAGATTTCTTCAACTCTTGTCTAAACTATTACGTTCATCGATACGTCTGAAAATTGCATTGTGAAGCATTTCAGATGTTATTTTTCATTTTAGAAACAGGTTTGATTGTAATACATGATAAATTTTATTCAATTCATCTACTAAATAAGAAGAAAAAGTAGCAAGTGGAGATTTTCTTGTAAAAAATTGATCTGAATATAATAGGTAATTTACTTTTGGGAAAACTTTTACAATTAAATTTTCTCTCGGAAAAAAGAAAGATTTTTCTTCAATGAAGACGGAGTAAATTTTTAGTGTCTACGTTTTGACTTTTCCAATTTCTAACAGATAACAACTTGGACTCAAAGCTATACACCGTCGATATTGTTGATGGTTTTTAGTTACACCGGTTAAGTATTTTATTTTGAACATCTATCAGACATTTACTAATGTTTATTGAACGAGTACGTTTAATAACATTTGAATGTTTGAATAGGAACTCTGACTGACTATCTATCATACAATTCGTGTCTCTCTTAGATATGAACGTTGTAGAAAACAGTTCTTATTTTTACTGAAAATTGTGATATTTTTATCATGTGCTGTCAATTGACTGCATGGTGGAAATTCTATTGTAATTTTTCATTTTTGTATAATATAACTTTTAATTGCATGATATGAAATGCCATTTGCATGTTTTCGAATAGAATTATTTTAGATTTTTCTTAATCACAAAATTATTTACTATCCAACAGTTCTTATTTATTCATCAAGAGTAAACTTCTGTTAAAAGATATGCGGTGAAAAAAACAAGATATTGTAAAAAATACTAATGCCTGCTCGTTCATAATATTGTCTGTAAGAGTCATCTATAAATATATGATGAAACATCATCCTACTACTTTTGCACATGTCGTGCCTGTTCTTCATCATAGTATTGATATGTGCAAGAATCCTGTCACGTTCTGTCGATAGATAGATTATATGAGAGTGAGAGACATCTTTTTTTTAACGTCTTTCTCCAATAAACCAAATGTACAATGTATTTGATTGCTCCGCTCGAGAAGCTAATCAACTTTTTTTCTTCCTCCCCATGTACTCGAAGCTTGACTTTGTTGTTCTTGTTTTTCTTCTGTATGTTTTTGGCAAAAGCGGCTTTTTTCTCTTTCTATCCACACAGTAGCAGAGATTCCAGCTCGATGGCAGTGATTGCAATAAATCGTGAACATTTTCAACAACGTCTTGAATATATAAGGTTCCTCATTTGTTTCATTTTATGAGTAGAGAAGGGTGATCATGAATCGTGTTTTCGTTCGTAAGTTGTACAATCTATATATGAACCGAGTAAATCAGAATATTCTACGAGCAGATTTGCACGAAATACCCAAAATTTGATTCAGATGTATATGTGTGAGTCAAAGTCAGATAATGTTTTTAAAGATATAAAGTAAAACTTTTCGATTAATTTCATCCTAATTAGAAATCATCTTTGTCTGTGTGACTGATAGTGTAGGGGAGTAGATGATGTAATCACGTAGCTTTCTGAATAAATACTATGACCCTGATGATGACATATGAGAAAGATTAGTCAATAAGAGAAAAACAAATACATATTTACTCTCTTTATCAAATATTCTTATCCTGTGACATCATTTAGTTAAAAATAAATATTATAAAATTCGCTTTTGTCTAATAACAATATTTGCAGATAGTTAACAAAACTACACATAGATTCACTTTGAAATTTTAAATTTTGGCTATTTAAACAAATGGCTTTACACAACTTCAGCTTAGCAAAAACATGCGGAATAATGGGCTACGGTGCCTTTTTTTGGGGTTTAGGTGTATGGTCAATTCGTCATGGTGGAACATATATGTTTCAAACCAATTTAAGTCGAAGTCTTACGATGGCTGCTACAGTACCAATGTCTTACGCGGTAATACGTCTTACTGAAGCAGTATTTTCTCTTAATGCGCAAGAAACACTTGTCGCAATGACATTGGGTACTGGTTTTGCAAGTATTCTTGATGGCATCGCTCATACATGGTTTCCAAGTGCTTATGAAAATCCAGAGTTACAGAAAAAAAATCCACTGGCAGCATGTACCATTTCAAGATATGGATCTGGCTGGTTACTCTTCTTTGTTGGTGCCGCTCTAACAATGATCGTATTCATGTAATACTTTAATTCGTTAAAGGATATCTATATCTTTGATGTCTTATTGAATGTGACTTGTCTCGTATTAATACATATTAATCATAATTGTAGATGATAGAATCCTAATATTCGATTTTTTTTCTTGTAGAACTTTGAATAGAGTATCCATTGATGTTATAAAAACATGAGTAAAACTATACTTTTAAAATCTTAAATGTAGTCAATAACTAAAATTTTTTCATATCTTACTGTCGATCTATGCTTTTGGTATTCGTTGTAATTTGCGGAATAATATAAAAATAAATAATACATTAATCATATTTTGAACATTTCACTTCATTGAAAGTTCCGAATTGAGGTAAAAAAACATTTACATACTCTTTTCTTAATTCTTTTACAAAGAAGATCACTACAATTTTCTTATTTGTTTATGAATAATATAGGGTGTGGGGTATGGGTGGGTGTAGGTGTGGTGTGGGGGTGGGTTTGGGCAAGGGAGAAACAGCAGAGACTTCAGCTGTGAAGTCCCATGAACCCTCATGAAGTCTGCGAAGTCTCGTGAAGTCTATAAAGTCTTGAAGTCCTCTATTTTTTCCTGTAATGAAGCCTCGTGAAGTCTGATAAAGTCCCATGGAGTCTCGTGAAGTTTCATGAAGTCCCATGAAGTCTCTCGAAGTCCCATGAAGTCTCGTGAAGTCCCATGAAGTCTCACAAAGTCTCCTCTTGAAGTCTCTTGAAGTCTTTTGAAATCTTGAAGTCTGCTGTTTCCCCCTTGCGTTTGGATAAATACAAGACTAACACCCACACCCACACCCCCACAGATTCATATCGAAATTCAATTTAAACAAGGACCAAAGAAACCACAACTAGCGTACTCTACTAATTATGGTTTTGCTGATTTGATTGATTTATCTATTGGATCACTTTGATATATGTAACATTGATGAAAATAGTGTCACGTCTTATTTGTTCAGATATTTTGTTGCTTTTTTTAATGTCTTTATTTCCAATCTATTTCTATATATCTCAATTTTTTCATTGTTAATGCAGGATCCGATTTCGACCGACTTCGAAATTTCAACTCAAAATATAGGTGTGGGATTTAGAAAACGTTTCAGAGTGTAAGTGAGTAATACATACGTGATTAACCCAAGGATTTCTTCTTGTTTGACTCGATGAAATACGAACTTGTTTCAAATCAGATTTGATTGATATCGATTAAAATAATCTAATTCATTTACATTGGTTTTTTTAAAATTTTTACCCAATTGTAATCGATTTCTCATGCAATTGTACCATCTCAATTTGTATATCAATTCCAACTTTACTTTAGTTGCCGAAGCTGGATGCGGATGAAAAGAACATCAACATCCACACCCACGTTCTATGTAAAGTCATGCAAGAGTTTATTTCATGACTTGTAAGTGGCTCTCCTCCCTCAGACAACCCAATTTTTTGAAAACATATCGAAATTGTTATCATAGGAAAATGCACCAAAGTTTCCTCTTTTAGAATATACAGAGTGTCCAGAAAATCATAGACTAAAAAGAAAATTGTATATCTCCATTATTATTGTATTGAATGAATTAGTTTTTGGTACTGATGATAGAGGACACTTCAAAGGTTTTATTCATAAATACAAAGTTGTCAAATACTCCTAGTAAGTGGCACTTTCAAGTTCAATACACAATAAAGTACTTTTTCTAATTGAAAAAAAAACAATATATATAGGGTTCTTTCTTGAGTTTTGTTTCATTATTGTGAGCTTTCAGTCATGGAGACCTATTTCTTTTGTATTATCCGAAATTTTGATGAAAGATAAATTCAGTAAATTGATGTGATGTTAAGGTTTTTATCGACATTAGACTAGAGATATGTGTCGAGTAGTTTGTTAAAAATGTCCAACAAATGTGTATGTAGCAAGAGAAATAATTTTGGATGATTGAAAGATCATAATAATGAAATAAGATTCAAGAAAAAATCCTATATATATATTGTTTCTTCAATTAGAAAAAGCATTTTATTGTATATTGAACTTGAAAGTGCTACTTTCTAGGAGTATTTGACAACTTTATATTTATGAATAAAAACTTTAAAGTGTCCTCTATCATCAATACAAAAAATTTAATTCATCCAATGGAACACTAATCGAGATATACAATCTTCGTTTTGGCCAATAGCTTTCCAGACACCCTGTATATAGCTATTCGCAAAATGATCCAATTTTCATAGACTTATTAGAGGAAATGTTGACCCTACTATTATGTTTTCCGAGAGATTTTTGTGTTTTTTTTATATTGTTTTTCTCAAAACATGGTTTTCAGTCAGAAAAACCAATATTCTTTTGCTTTAAAGGTCTAAATGAGAGTAAATTTTTGATCAACTAGATTTTTCATATTTGATTCCTGTGTTGAGAAAAGTGAATTTTAGTGTTCTGGAGTCAGAAATGTTTTGCTTATTTTTATTCCATATGCACTTAAACGGTCATAAAAAATGAAGGGAAACGAATTTGAAAATTTTGTTCGATGAAATATTGCGCAAAGAGGCTAGCTTTAGTTAGAAACTATTCCCAAGTTTCTATCTATTTTAATGATGAAGTTATAAGGATTCTCATAGAGGCCATGAATTGATGATAATTAAGCTTAGAGTTCGGTCCAGTTTGACGTTCTAAGTAAGAAATCCATTGTGAGGAAGTGAGCGCCTTTACTGACTGTTAGACATGGAAGAAACGGAGCATTTGGTAGGCAGTTTTCAGACAACAATTGAACATTTTTAGAGACGCAACGTGAAAAAGCGACAGCAGACATTCTTTTCTTAGGAGTCATATTTTGGTTTCTGATTATTAATGTGGATTTATTCTGGCATGTGAATGCTCCTCCTTTTCCTCCTTTTTTACAAAAAATCTCCCACTTTCCAATTCTGATATAATTTAAAATGCCCTCCAATCAACAACAGAATTCTGTAGATTAGTATTGTTTGAACATATCTAATGAAAAACACTATATACATCATAATTTTGTTACTGTAGGAGAATTTGGTATTATAGCACCCTAGCTTTTGCGAGTACTTCTTTTGCCATATCTGAATGTGGCGATTTAACATGTTTTTCTTTATTACTATGAAGGCAAGGCAACTTTTAGGAAAGAAAGCTTTCTACGTAAGAGATGGAAATTCCATGAGCGATTATAATCGTGAGTTGTATTATCACCGCAAAAAACGATTAATGAGAACAAAGTAGATTTACTGTCCTTTCATGAATTTTTAGCAATTGGATGTTCTCCGAAAAAGCATCTATATGTATTGTGCAATATTCTATTCAATGGATACACAAAATCTGATTTCTGCAATGCTAATTCTAGTTGATTTTACTGTTGTATGCCAAACTTCTGGTCATATTTCAATGACCTCTATGGTAGGATGCTAGCAGTGCACTCTAACAGGTATTTTGAATTTTGCTGAGAGAACATATGTATATTTGTATCATGAGACACAATACTCAGGAACTGAAGCAATCAAAAAAATTGCATTAAATGAGAGAATGAAAATAAAAGCCTACCTATTTCAATTTCATTGACTCACATGAGCATTGTCATCCATTTCATTCCAAAATTTTGCTTTTCTAAGTTCGCAAATTCTGCTAACGTCATTATATCCCAACTCTTGAACGAAGAATATATCATGCATAAAATTAAGTCTATAACAAGCAGCAGCTGTGAAATTATATCAATCATAATTCATTATTTGTAATTCCACGTAAAAATTGATATAAATTTTAACAGCTAAATGAAGCAACGTTGCCCTTTTAACAGTAAAAACACGCTTGAAAATTTTTTGCAATATTATCAGTCATTTATATGAATCCCTTTCGAAGCGGAAAACATTCATGAATTACCGATGAAAACAACTTGTTGATAAATTTTCATTGTTCGAAAAGAAATATTTTTCGTAAATTGCTAAGCTTATGGGAATTTTTACAAAAAAAATTTTAGTTGATTTGATTAATTTTGCAATTGAATACCACAGAATCATTGATAAACTGTACTCTGCAGATGCATATACCCACTTGAACAGAGTCAAACAATAAGTTGATATTATTTGTTTCAGAATAAAATTTTGCCCTCTTCAACATGACTATCTAATTGATTGAACTACTTTCTTCACACAGGTCGCAGATTTTTTTTTGAGGATGGTATGGAGAAATCCATGTATAATCTATTGTAACTTTTAGTGGATTCCTCGTGTTATCGTGTTCAACCATACTAATGCATCTGATATCCTGAAATGCATTTTTTACGACAAAAAAATGATGTCCTCCTTTTCTGAAGCCTATCCTTCGAAAAGTTTTTTCCAAAAATCCTCCTCAATCCTCCTTTTCTTCAAATGCTCGTTCACATGCCAGATTTATTTTTTCAAAGTATGAATATACTTTATTTATATAGGTTATTGCATAATCATAACAAAAAACAAAGAAGAATTTTATTCAAATAAAATTATTTTGTAAATAATTTTGAAATGAAAATTGCTGTAAGAATAAATCTTTTTCTATCATAAATTTAACTGCAATTGTTTGCAAATGATGAATAAAATTAGAATTATGTGCCATTTCAAGATTATGTGCAAGTTCATGACATATCAATATAAAATAAAAATTAAAAATTGTATGTATTATTGGTATAGATGATGATGATGATGATGTTGCTTGTAAATATGGTTGGACTTTGTCAGCAAAAACTTGTTCATAATAACGAAGATTAAAAAATAATGCATGACGATCATTAAATGCAATGCGAGCTAAATAAATAAATAAATAAATGATTGAAAAGATAATTTTCAGTTTTACCTCCATTAATATCTCGAAAGAGATGTAATGTTTCAATAGATATTTTAAAAACATGATTAGCAAGTCCAATTAAAACCCAAGCTAATTGTTTAGCTTGATCAAGCATTTTATTTGTAATAAGAACATCTTGTTGAATATATAATGGTATTGAATGAAATAAATCTTTATAACGTGTCATATTAGCAGATGGTACAACTTCACATGAATGATCAATTTCATTTTTAACATATTCTTGTTGAATAAATTTTGTTTGTGTATATTCTCGACCTGTATTTAACATTGAAAATAATTTAGTATCATTTTTTGTTTGTTGATGATTAAAATCTTCTACACAACCATTTATTTTAGCATGAGTTTCATGATTATCATTATTATTATTTAATTCAGATTTTTGTTCAATCATTTGAACAGTTGAACGTATATATTGTTGTTTATATTGAAGTAAACGATCAACAGGTATACCACGACGTTTAAGTGTTTCTAATGGTGATGCAAGTTTATCACTTATTGTATGAACAATTGTATCAGGTGATTTTTTAAATATAAATCGAACTAATTCGCTTGCAATATCAATATAATCAAATGCATGTATATGTTTTTGAAAATATAATACAACATTGTTTTTATTATATTCAAGTGCACACGAACTACTATTGGTTGACTAAAATGAAAAAAAAGTTAATTAGCACAATCCTTGTAGCATTCAAATGTAAAACATAATGTTCCTGCTGCTAATCACAGGAATATTGTTTTTATTCCATGTGTCTTGAGAAACATTTCTTTATCCTCAAGAAATACAGGAAGGAAGTAGTTAAGACATTGTAACGAGCCGTTAGTGATATACGATATGTGATCGCATATCAACAATGCCGATGGATTCTATCTATCGAGGAAGGTTTAAATTTCTGCCCAATATACTTCAACACTCTTTGTCGATTATGTTTCACAAAAGATTAAATGATTAGAAATAAATAGCTGGGTGAGGGTGTGGGTGTGGGTGTGGGTGTGGGTGTGGGATGTGGGTGTGGGTGTGAGTGTGGGTGTGGGATGTGGGTGTGAGTGTGAGTGTGGGTGTGGGTGTGGGTATGGGCGTGGGTGTGGGTGTCGGTGTGGGTATGGGTGGGTGTGGCTGTGGATGGGGTAGGATGTGGCTGTGGGGGTGTGAGGGTGGGTGAAGACAAATAAGACACTCACACCCACACCTACACCTACACCCACACCCACACCCACACCCACCCACGCGATGTTATTGGTAAGATGTTTCGATATGAAAATTCAGAACTTTAAATTAATATTATTAATATACATTTTAGGCAAACGAGCAAATGAGATAGGTCCCCTAGCAACATTTCGCGAGCTCGTGGAAGCTGCTGATGAAAAAATGCTCGCAGCAGGTAATTTCTCAGAATGTCCGACGATTGAAGCAGTGAAGAAATGTGGAGCGGATTATCGAAAGAAGATGCGTTTCGACGAAGACGTGTTCAGAGAATGTCGAATTTTAAGTTGCTTTTATCGCAAAGAAGATATTACATCTGAATATATTTTAGGTAAGTCAAGCTTATTAAACAAAAAGAATCTATTCAGAGGCTTTGTTACTTGTTTTTTATAGGATACATTCACAATTCGGGCGAAATACCGTTTCGATCACATTTGTTTACCGAATCACAACTCCAACGATACATTAGGTATGTTGAGAACGAAAAATATTCTTTTATTCATATAGATTCAACTGGTGGAGTATTAAAGCCAATGAAAGAACAAAATCAATTATTGATTTATACAATAATGTTCAAGGATGGTATTGATGGAAATAATAATGTTCCACTAGCACACGCTATATTAACAGATCATACAGTTCCGGGTATCGGTTATTTTCTTGGCAATGTAATTCATAGTGTCAATCAAGTGACAACAAAGAAAAAACTACGCCCACATTCATTTATCGTTATCGATTTTTCTGCTGCTCTTATGAATGCCGCTCTTCAACAATTCAATATTGAAACTGTTAACAGACATCTCAAACGATGCTGGAATGTTATACATGGCAAATATAGTGCTGAAATTATTCGATCATCATCTTTTATTCATTTGTGCTGTTGTCACGTTATGCATGCCGTTGCAAGAAGTCTGAATGCTGAAAAAATTGAAAAGAAAACGCGTGAAGCAGTATTATATATATTCGCTTATATGTTATGTGGCAATGATATAAATCAATTATATAATACATTGGGATTAGTGATTGATATATTCGGCGATCCAAATGAACAGAACGCAAAAAAGAAGCTTGATCGAATATGTTCTCTTCAATTAAACGTTGATGAAGAAAGTGAGTCAGTTTTAAAGGATTTTGATAATATTTTTAAAACAGCTGAAAAGAAAGAAGAAGAATTAAAACTTGTCGATGAATATTTTGATTCCAATGAACCTATCATTCATCAATCACCATTCAATAAAGAAGCTATCAAACGTTATCCATTGCTGAATGAGATAGTAATTAAAAAAAAATAAAAAACAGCAATAAGAATACACTGTTTTCTGCGTCGATAATTCGTATATTCTATCGATGGTGGGCATATTTGCCACTATGGACATGTTTGTTATTCAATTTCGAAGAACGATATGCCAATGACATGCAACAAAATACATCGATAACATACTGTCCTATCCGATACTCCAATGCAGCTATTGAAAGTTATTTCCGAACATTCAAAAAAAGTATCTGTCAAGGAAAGAGAGGTAAACCACCTCAAGAGGTTATCATGGCGTTACATAGAAGTGTAAAAGTTCAATCAAAGGCTGATCAGTTTGGACTGACACAAAGTTCAAAGGGAAGAAGAAGAAAAAAAAAGTAGGCATAGGAGAACAATGGAAGAAGAGAATACACGACAAAATACGTCGAGGTAAATACACACATCTGATTGACAAATTCGCATCAAAACGTGCACGAAAAAAAGAGGATCAATCTCAACAAGATGCCGTGATGAAAAAATACAGGTAATTTCTTTTGAATTCTAATCTATTAGATTTTATCTTTACGTTTAGTGAATCTGAAAATACTACAACTGCTTCTTCATCAGGCAAATCGGAATCATCTTCTAAAGTTCCAAGCGAGAAAATCTCAATCAAGCAAGAGAAACATCATTCTACTACCAAACAATAAATATTTTTTGTTTAGTGAATCATCTCGTTCAAGCAGAAGAGATTCATTATCATTATCTGAAGCAGCTACCAAGGTAAGTCATGAATATTCTAATGATATTTCAAACAATTTAGATATGCCGGCGAACAATGATCATCAACAAAATGAAATTTCAACTGGAAACAGTTTGAACATAAGTCCATCTTCTATAATAAAAAACACTTCGATTTCTGTTAATGAAGGTGTGTAATGATATGAGTTAATCTATATATTAGAATATAACCGTCATATTTATAGAACACAAGGTGATAACTAATCAATTATCAAAAGATCTGTCCATCAAAATTCAATCTCATCCAGAAGCAATAATCAACGGCTTTACATTGAAATGGCCCAAATTTGCAGTTAAAAATGTTCTATTTAAAGGTAACAAAGAAAAAAAATTAAAGGATGAATACATCATTCACAATCAAATCTATGCGTATTTTTTTGTGAAACACGATCTGAAAGGAGTGTTGAAGTGTTTAGGGGTAGAAATTTGGACCCCCCCTCCCCCCACAGACCGTGACAGAGAAATTCCATACCCGTCACAGACCGTGACAGAGAACCTCCGGACCCATCACAGACCGTGACAGAGAAACCCCAGTACCCATCACAGACCGTGACAGAGAAATCCCAGTACCCATCACAGACCGTGACAGAGAACCTCTGGACCCATGACAGACCGTGACAGAGAAACCCTAGCACCCATGACAGACCGTGACAGAGAAACCCTAGCACCCATGACAGACCGTGACAGAGAAACCCTAACACCCATCACAGACTGTGACAGAGAACTCCAGAGATCATCACAGACCGTAACAGAGAACCTTCGGACCCATCACAGACCGTGACAGAGAAACTCCAATACCCATCACAGACCGTGACAGAGAAACT